AAGGGTTGCAGTTTGAGTCCCGGTAGGAGCAAGATTTTTCTCCTCTCCATGTTCAGACCGGCTCTGGGGCCCACCCAGCCTCCTATCCAATGGGTACCGGGGACTCTTTCGCCGGGAGTAAAGCGGCCTGGGCTTGAAGCTAACCACTCCCCTCCAAATAATGCTGAGGTCAAGAATGCGTGGATCTATGCATCCACTCACCCATACACCTCTATGCATAGGAACAACTTTATCTTTTAACTTTTATTCCATATTTCTTTAGCAGGATGCAGTTTACAAGCAGCTAGTCCTGTCTCTCTTACCAGAGCACTACACTACAAACCACGCACCTTCTAGTCGCTATTTGAGTCTGCGCTTTCTTCATCATTAGGTTCCGCAAACTCGTGAGCTGACCGAAGCATTTAGATATTATGGTCAGTGATATCTTCTGAGATGTGACGACGCGTAGTCTCATAGTTCGCCAAAGTTTCGGAAGAATATAATGCCTCCATCTTCGGGGTTATATCCACGCTATTTTTCATATTTTGTTACATCCTGTTGTGTAAATCGTTACAGATAATGTACTATATTTTTTACTGTCAAATAAACACTATTTCCAGCAGGCGGAGTTGCTGTCTAGGACGACATGTTTCGTCACATGTGTGCCATCTTCAGATCTGGTTTTTAATTACAGTTATTCTATCATATGCATAGCGTAAATTTTCCGTGTAAGCCGAATGGATCCACCGGTACCCTGCACGCGCTCTATACTGTATTACGATTATACAGTATTAACGCGTTATAGTTTGTAATGTTGTATATAGTAGACACAGTGTATAGGAGTAGCATACTGGTGAATCCACGCTATGCTTTCTTCTTTCTTCTCTTACTCCTCAACCATGAAGACGAAGGCAATTGTTCTTCCGAAACGTCACTAAACTTCTACTGGGCTACAAGGCATCACGTTCCGTAAGATAGTTATCTTAATCGCCACTGTGAGGACCTCAAATACAATATTTACTGACCGTTTATGGACCGCCTCTGTGGTCTAGTGGTCAGAGTTCCTGGCTACAGATCCAAATGTCCCGGGTTCGATTCCCTACTCCCCGACGGGGTCCATTCAGCCTCGTGAGGATAATTGAGGAGCTATTGCAAGGAAATGGCGCCTCCAGTCTAAAAACCCGATATTAACGGCCGTGGGATTCGTTGCGCTGACCAGGCGACACCCTGTCCACAGAAGTTGGCACTAACTTCGACGACAAACAGCGGTCGCTCGGTCTGTATAGTTCGCTTGCGGGCTTAAGCCACGGAGTTGGTTTATTTTGTTTGTTATGGAACACTTTGTTTCGTCAGTAAAATGTTAGATTGAAGTTATTTTTAATTGGTGATTTCATATACGTTATTAAGGTGATAATATGAAGGAACTGAACGCTTTGGTTGTGTAGGCAGAACTCTTACTTCGAATTTGGGAAGCTCCAGCTTCAGATCTTGTAACCATAAATTTTCGTGGTATTCCTCAGTCCCCTCGGGAAATTTCCGGCATAGTACCACAAATTAGGCCTCATAATTTTCAATCGTATCATTCGATTGCTATATACTCCGAGCTATTAATATCGTCGTTAAACAAGCCATAAATAAGACTCTCATCAAGAAGGATGTCATAGGCTGGACTTGTAGCACGCAAGAGGGAGATGAGAAATGCTTACAACATTTTAGTCGAGAAATCTGTGAGTTGATACAGGTTAAAACTGAGCGTGGACGTAGATTGCAGTCAGCTGCCTCAGAATAAGGCCAGGAGGCAGTGTATTGTGTATATGGGAAATGATCTCCCGGAGCCCATGAAAGGCGGAGAATTTCGCGATAGCTGAACTAACATCAGCTTCTCAGAACGCGTTTCTGTAGAGATGGTTATGTAATTATGAGCACTTCACATCAGAAGATCGCGGTATTACTTGTGCTGATTAGAGGCGTTCTGAAATGTTTCTTGCTACATGTCTGTTCACTCTCCGATTCTTGCATTCAAAATGAGTTTGAGAGAATTCATACCTCCCCTCACCCTTTTCAATACCAATGAGAAGCAAGCGAAATTCGTGCCAGCTAAGAGTTCATGGTCTTGGCACGGTCTCTTCATAATCAGTGAATGCCGGGATGTAGTTATAATCATTCTACAGCTCAGTGGCTGTAGCTTCTCGCTGAATTACTGAGGAATGTAATTCCATTCCCCGGAAGGACAGAAAATGTTACTCTTTACGTGTATCGTCCAGACTAGCTCGGTGGCTTGCCAAATGCTCTGTCTAATGAGTACCGGGGTTATTTCTTCGCGGCTAAAGAGGCCGGGGCGTGAAGCTGATCACTCACCTCCGTATAATGTCGAGGTTAAAAATAAATATGACTTTTCTCCCAGTCGTCCACATATTTTCGTAGAGTGTTAATTGGTTAGTTAATTATTTAAGCACAGAGACGACTTTACCTTACGATGTGCAATCGCCTCATATCTGTACCCATGAATGCCACATTGGGATCCCCTATAGATTTGTTCTGATCCTGTAGGTGAGTAAGTGCTGAAACAGAAGCAAAGTTGCCTCGCTGTTTCTGATATCCGCAACTTTCTTTTCATGTTATCAGGACTGCGACGTCTTGAGCTTGAAGTCTTGAACACTGAAACGCTGAAGATACCGCACACCACCAGTTATAGTCCTGAATAATGATTTAAAATCTCCATGTGTTCATATCCCATATTCAATTTTTGTAGTCACTCATTTCTATATGCTAGACGTATATACGAGGGAGTCAGTAAATAGGTCACAGACGGAAGTAAAACAGTTGTAATGGACGTAATAGGTTTTCTATGTGTATCACTAGGTAGCAGCACAGTCCAGCTTCATGACAGTCTAGTTAGCAGACCCGCATGCGCATGTTCAGAGGCTGGTGTCAGTAGTCAAAATGGCGACCTGATTAAGGAGTATACTACTGAAGAGCAGCGTTTTGTTGTGCGATTTTTTGGGCAAAATGAATCAGTGTCAAGTATATTCACAAAGACATATTTACTACGGGAAGTGTTTTGTAGAGTAAAGCGATTCACAGCTGGGTGGCAAAGGTTTCACTGATGACGAAGAGGTTGAAACTGAGGTGCGGAAGTGGCTGAGACAACAGTCAAAAGACTTCCGTGTTGCGGGTTTCGACGCACTAGTAAAGCGATGGCATAAATGTATCAGTGTTGACGGAGGATGTGTCGAGAAATAAATGTTTTTTCCAGGTCCCAATATCACATATTTTATGTTTTATATCCATTTGTGACGTATTTACTGACTCTTCTCCTTATTTATTTATGAAATCCTATCATCCCTCACCCCATAACGAAACCCCACCACTGGGATTAGCCCTTATCAGCGCACGTCGCCGAATATGGTATGGTAATTTTGTCCGTGTGCTTAATTAAGCACCACGCCATGAAGACTTTTGTGGGGGGTGAAAGTATAGCTGCACCATTCTTGACCTCGGCACAAGCTGGAGGTGAGTGATCAGCTTCACGGCCCGGGGAAAGAGGAGCCCCCGGTACCCATTGTATATGAGGCTGTGTGGTCCACGGTATTGAAGTACAGAAAAATATTTTCCCCTGCCGGTAATCAAACCCTGGCTGTTCAGCCTGTCGCTATACTGACTGGTCTATCCAAGTTCTCTACATCACCGTATAAACTGACTAAAATAGAGCAAAGTCCTTCAAGAATTTTATAGAACTCAGAGGTTCAATACAGTTTTCACAGCAGCTGGTCACTGGTGAATATTCATAGCCAGATGAATCCAGTAATCTTCCAAAGCTCTTTCTCTAAGATCCGTTTTAATAATATCCTCCCATCTACTCGTAGACTTCCGAGTCAGTAGCTCAGACTGTGTAGCATGAAGGAACCCATTGTTTTTTTTGGGGGGAGGAACATAATTCGAATCGCTGATTTATAGACCCACAACCAGATAATAATTATTATGTTCCTTAGTGCATGGTCATGGAACGAGGTTAGTTGTGTGAATGGTGATTCTGTATCTTGCGATGCCGTATGTATGTCCCTGATAGTATTATACAGAGTGCTTCACTCGGAGTTCCACCCCCAAATTATTAATTTATAATTCACGCGATAATGTACCGATGAAAACGAAAGCAAATGTGTGTACCTTGCAATTCTAGTACGGTGCCTGCCTGTCCGGTTCGCGCCATTTCCTCCAATCTTTGGTTCCACGTATATGTGACGGAATAATATGCACCAGTGGTTCACAAAATTTTGACATGATGCCCCCTTTTGGTTTTCACCGAACTCTCGTGCCGTTTACCCAACTTTTTTGTTGATATAAATGTAACGGTTTGCAGTCCTATTGGTATTAGTTTATATGGTGATATGGTGACTTGTAATTAGTACACCACAACAAACTGAATAAAATAATTCAGTTTGTTATAATGAAATGTTGCACAGTGCTTTTTATTTAGCGACGAATAAAGTCTAAAAATGTATAAATTTAATCTAATGTATTTTTATATCTGGATTGAGAGTTCTACTGATTGGTTGCGGAAGAGATGATTAAATTCAGAATATATATATATATATATATATATATATATATATATATATATATTATTTCGGCCAGGTTTCTCATTAAAAATTAAACTTCTCCTCATGGTATCCCTTCAAGGGGCATGCCCCCCAGATTGGAAACCACTAATATATACAGTTGAGTGTATACATAGAATATCGTGTCAGCCTATGTCTGCAGGTGGGGGAAAACAAATCTCAGCATTTTGTGTAAGTCACTTGTATCCACATATATCTTATACCTGCCATGCTTAACTATCTTTAGTAAATATTTTCATGATTTGTAATTATTAATTCGGAGCCTCCTCCAAATGAATCAGCCTATATTATTTCAGGCAGGCAGCCCAACTGAGTAGCTCGCTCGTGGTTCTTGAACGGTTGTCAATGTGTTTCAGAGATGTGTTGCATGACACTAAATAACTGAGGCTTCTCCTGGTACAGGGCTGAAAAAAGATGCAGCGGTTGGCCTGACATGGAATGTTGAGTTCACGCTATGGCCTCATCGGCTCCCAAGTCGAAGCTGTGCAGCTACAAACAGCGGCGTATGGGACCCGCGCCCTTTGCCTCATTTGAGGACTTAAGCGACGACGTGGAGAGCCCCGAGGAGAAGCAGCCTCAGGCCCGGCCCTTGCCAGGGATCAGGGAAGACGTGACTCTCATCTCACCCGGCTCTGCAGGAGGTGGGTTGCAGACACCGTCCACGCCTCGGATAGACATCTCGCGGGCAAGCAGTTCTTCTCACCACGACAGCAATAACAGCAGGGACAGCTCCCCAGAGAGGGAGCTTTTCGAAGGTATAGCAAGACTGAGGTAACGTGTAGTTCTTGCTTAAAAGTAAATGAAGTCAAATTTGTTCCTCTGTTTAATTAAGCACCACGCCATGAATACGTATGGGATTGTGGTGGTATAGCTTCATGCATTCTTAACGTTGTCAGCTTGACGCCCCGGCAGTTTTATCTCCGGGAAATATCTCTGGTACCTTTTGGATAGGAGACCGCGTGCACCCCAGAGCTGGTCTGAATTCTATGGAGAAGAGAAATATATCTTGCCCCTATCGGGAATCAAACCCCTGATTCTCGGTTGTTCAGCCCATAACATAATCACTATACAGATTGTCTGAACTATGAAAAAATATTCTGGAAATTTTACTTAGGATTTGTGGTGGACATAGTGGCACTGGAGCAGGTTTTCTTTGAGTACTTCCATTTCTCTTGCCAATTTTCATATTGTTGAATGCTCCATTTCCCTCATCTATCATCCAAGGCTGATCCAGTGGGCTCATTTGTGGCCTAAATTCTTAGGGACTTAGTCCCACACCATCCCAACCCATGAAAGAAAAGGGACGGATGTGTGTGTTACAGACAGAATTTGGGAGGAAGTAACAGAGAAATTCGTCGGATATTCTGCAAAATAGCCAAAATGAGAGGTGCCGCGAGGGCGCTGTCAATATAGTACTAGCTTGGGACTGGATAACCAAGGAATTTAGGTTCGATTCTCAGAGGGGCAAGATATTTTTCTCACCACAGCATCCTAACTTCCTATGGGGCCCACCCAGAATTCTGCACATTGGGTTTGGTGCTAAAACGTCCGGAGCGTGAAACAGGCCACTCAGTTCCGTCTGGTACTAAGGTTAAGTAAGCATGGAGCTATATTTCTGTGTCCCCATGGCGTGATGCTTCAATATTGAGAGTAATAAGGTTACCAGTTTATTGCAACCAGGAGATGTATTAGAGTCCTGAGTACTGTAAAGTAGCAGACAATTTAGAAAATACTGAAAGTTGATTATATGGGTTCTTAGTGACAGCAATGTCTGGGGCAGAAGTGACATAATATTGAGGTAATAATTAGCTTCCTATATTTGTATTCTTTGAAATTGTTTTACACTCTACAGGTTACTAATTCTGTTCATAGTGGACTGTTTAACAATAGTTTCATTGCATAAAGACGCTGTAGCAATGGGTAATCTGATGAGTGATAAATTGGAAACATTTGACAAGAAGCAGTCATTGCTTGTTAGGGGGACTGAGAAAAACCACAAGAACCTTAGGATGTCCCAGGTTAGATTCAAACAAAGCACCTCCTGAGAACAAGTTCAGAAGATTACTTTTAGATGAAGCTGTTAAGTTTCAGTTTACTGATGTTCGTGCTATCTTTAACGCTAAAGCACACTATCTGAAGAAAGAGATCTTTATTTCATTGGAGTAACTGCTGTAGCATGATCTCAAGACAGTTATATGGAATTACCATGGAAAGTACACATTGTGTTTCTACAGGTTCCGGTGAACGATCAGGTGCCAAGCTCGGACTGGGTTTCAAGGAGGAGGGTGCAGCTGATTTACGATCGAGCACAGAGGAGCTGGACTTCCACGAAGAACATGGCACAGTCACAGAGCGCGAGACACAGCGACGACGGGAGCGGCGGCTTGCGAGACAACAGCAGCAGCAGCAACAGGCGTCAGTGTTCAAATATGAACTGGAGGCCCAGAGTGAGAAGGAACGCAAGGACTCAGCCTGCAGTGATGTAGCACTGCTCTCCATCAGTGGCCGCACCAGTCGCCTGTCCTCCATTGGCTCTGGTGGTTCAGGTGCCTCCCACATCTCTGGAATGTCGCATCTCTCCGTGGTGTCTGGCCAGTCTATCACTTCCAGTGGGCGCTCCCCTTCCCCCCACAAAATGTTGCTGGAGACCTCTTTCTGTGGCAGCAAGCCCATCCCCACACAGAGTATAGATATAGAGTCACCACCCAATAAGCATGAGACGGAGTCCCTTGAGAAGGCACTGCTGTCCAGACAAGTTGATCCAACCATAGCCATTGTTGGGGATGTAAGAGTCAAGGAGGCTGTGAAGAAGAAGAAGACTATAGCCGAGGCCAAAGAGACGCCACGAGTGGAGCATGTGCAGAAAAAGTCTGAACCTGAGGACAGAGCCATGATAGACAAAGAGACAGTGCGCATGGAGGATGTGCAGAAGAAGAGAATGACTGAAGAGAGAACTTTGAGAGAAAAAGAGCCACCTCGCATGGCATTTAGAAATGAATGGCAACTAAGAGACCGTGATGAGTGGGGCCCTCACACAAAGCAGAAGCCTGTGACATTAAACCTGTCAGAGCAGGGCAAGAAGCCCATCACCTTCTCACAGCTGGTGCAACAGCAGCAGCATCAACCAGCTGAGGTGACTCCATCTGCTTCTCCAAAACTGTCACGCCATGTGGCCCACAAGAAGACTGACGACAGTGGATCGCGGACTCCCTCTCCATCTTCCACCTCTCGGAAGAGCTCTTTCACGAACTTGTTCAAACGCAACGAGAGTGGCGTTCCAAGTCCAGAGTCACCTACTGTGGTGTCAAGTAAGAGGAAGTCAAGTGGCCTCTCCACAATTTTAAAAGAGGCGAGTGAGGGGCTGCGGGAGAGGAGCCGGTCCCGTAGTAAGAGTCGTGAGCGTGTCACATCAGGTATGACAGTGGCGCCCTCTGACACCAAAGGAAAGAAGGACAACAAGAACAAGAGTGTATTCTCATCGCTCTTCAAGAAGCGTGATCGCAAGAAGGGGACAAAAGACTTAGAGGGAGATGTTGTGTCACCTGTGGACCTCTCTTCACCTGACCAGAAGTTATCTATTATAGAACCAATTGGCAATGTAGAATTCACATTCAACTCAGACGGGAACTATCAACCCTCAGAGTATGGCATGATCCGTGCAGGGGAGAGGCAGCGACTCAGGTTATCACAAGAGCATGAGGATCGTGTTTCCAGAGAGGCTCGTGTGGTTTTGGATGGTAGTGCAACCAAAGACGATCATGCTCTCCGTAAAGATCATGCAGCCAAGAATGATCATTTTGCTGTAAATGACTTGTCTAGTCGAGAGGATCGTGTAGCTAAAGTTGAACTTGCCTCTCAAAATGGCCGTGTTGCAGAAGTTGTTATTACACAAGGTGACCGCAATGGCAGAGCTGATCTTGCCAATCAGAATGGCCGTGTTGTTAAAGTTGATTGTGTTGCTAGAATCGACCATGTCAGTACAGATGACTGTCTAACGAAAGAAGATCATCATCCTCAAAATGAGAGTTTGCTGCCTTCTGAATCAGTAATGCTTCCAACTCTGTACCAGGATGAAGTGGCCCGTGGCCACACTAATTCACTAACTCTGGCCAACTCACAAAGCCAATCTATGCCTTCTCAGGAGGATTCCAAAGTGACAGCACTGGTAGAGGTACCAGATTCTACCAGCAAAACGGACCACCACTCCTCTGAGTCTGAGAGGGACTCTGAAGTGGAGTACCTAAGCACCAAGAAGAAGAAGAAAAAGCAACAACATCAACCAGAGATAGAGCCTGAAGAAGAGGACCATGAGCGGAAAGGCCTGGTGGTACAGCAGGATTCGTTTGAAGAAGAATTACCTTATGTACCTACCACATTGCCACAGGAGCGATCCGTGGCTGTGCCCATGGTTCCCATCAAACAGCGCATAGCTGAAGTGAAGACTTGCCCCATTGATCGCCCACGAAGCACCACACCCATCAATCCGTCCCTGCTAGATGACTATGTGCAAACTGAAGATGTTCGTGAACAGGCTGTCGAGAAGATGCGGATCTGTCTCCCACGAGAGGATTCTGTTAGTGGGCGAGCCAAAAGTCCACGGCGCATTACCAAGACCTGGTTTGAGTTTGCTGAGCAAGGTATGTAGATATTATTAAACATCTCTGTACATACAGTTAAATACTTTGTGGGTTTGTGAGCTGCAGTATACATGCACAATGCAGCAGGCAGAGGGCAACTGTGAAAATGTGTCATGTGTATGAGTGACTATAGATGGGGTTTGTATTGGTAATTGGATTTAGTGAACATTTAAAGATCGCATCTACAAGTAACTATAATGCTGTATAGCGCTGGCATGTCCCGCATAGAGAGCACTGCTTCTCGCAGCTCTCCTATTTTTGCATGGTGTCACCACGGATGTGACGTGTTCCTTTGTTGCCTATGCAATCATTGTTATGCTGATAAGTTTCTTGCTGTGCCATAACCTAATAACTGCTCACTACGTGTTACATTACTCCCTCCTTAAGACTGTTTGTCCCAAATAACCTACAGGCATACTGCCATTTCTTCTTTTCCAAAGACTTTGCTTGTGACATCTGTGATTTGCCTCACCTTCCTTCCCTGTGGCATGGTTCTCACGGTGATTACTCCTCAACTGCTCCTGATGCTCAATCCTTAAGGACATTCATCCCAGGCGGTTCCCTGATAAGATGCGAATTGGTCCAGGTGTAATACCATCATCTTCTTTTTCGGTCGATGCAAGAAAAACTCCCAAGGGTGGCTGGCGCTCCTATATCTCTGACTCTTCAACTGTGAGTAGTCTCATGTGTCACTTGAATTGTGGCCAGCTCCACCACAATGTCTTATCATTCATTTTTAGAATTTTCATGGAAGACCCAACTGTGAGCTTGACAACCTGCAGCGCTATGGTCTACTCGTATATCAGGGCCTCGTTGACTTTTCTCTTTTTGAGCTTTTTCTTGTTTCCCAAGCTTAGCCGCTGTTTCAGGCCTCAGTTGCTTTTGCTATTGTTGCATTTCTGCTGCACCCAATATCTCTTCTTGAACTTCAGTCCACTGGGGTTCTTTGTACAGAATTGTCCCTGGTCTGTCTTTTCCAATGGTTCCGGTACACCAAAGCTGGTCTCTGGTCTCCTGATCTGTCCTCCAGTGCTCTGATAGTCTCCACTGTGACCATTCCCTTAGGGGCTTCCAGATGCGCCAACTGGAACTCTATTTCTTCTGGGATTTCTGCCAAATCCATGACCTCCATCTTTCCCAGACAGGCCTCCATCATGGTCTCTATTTTTCCTTGACCGGCTTTCATTATCACCTTCAACTCCTTGTGATGAGAGTGCTTCGATTTTGGTTCCCAGCCTTTTTAGATTGGCGTTTGTTCTTTCTTGCATGTCCTTAATTTTGGCCAGCCGGCATTCCAGTATGTGTTCCATCTTCGTAGTGTGGCGATTTAATTACACGATGCAATTTTCAATTCAATATTGATAACTCCAGTTAAGTCCCACTTCTGACACCAGTTGTCACATGTATGAGTGAATATAAACGGGTTTTTATTGCTAATTGGATTTGTCGAACACTTACAGATCTTAACTACAAGTAACTATAGCGATATTGCTAATTCACACACTCTGCAGTTCACTACAGCACGTGCTAAATCTTCTCAGTCTGCTGTGTCTTCACCAATGGACCTTCCCCTGCTCCTGGGCTCATATCCTCTCAGTCTGGTGGCATTATTGCACCAACCACCTCCTCGTCTAACTGCTGTCTCAAGGCTCTCTTGTGATAGCAGCTGCTCCTCGTTATGTAGCCTCTGCAGGGACTGCACAGAGAACACCGCTTCCTGCAGCTCTCCCATTGTTGCATGACATCACCATGGATGTGACATGTACCTCTGTTGTGTGTGCAATCATTATTACACTGATAAGTTGTTTACTGTGCCATAACTGAGTAAGGGTTGTCCAAATGCTACAATATAATGATTATCGGTATTAGTATGATATCCCTTGCCCTTCTAGACAGCACACTATTACATCCCCAGTCTTTAAATCTGGATTTTCATCTCTGACTTGGCACTTCACTGATTACAGAGTAAGGAAGTTAGTTTAAATTGTTTCATGGATTTCACCATGTGCATAATCTGTGGAATTCATTGTCAGGATTTTTAAACTATATTTTTCTGCATGAAAAGGACTAAGCGCATGGCTGAACTTTCAAGTTGGAGGAGACTGTGGTAATGAGTAGTGATGAAAAATGCAGACAAACATCCATGCATCCATGCTCAGCACATCTAAGATAGTGTAACATAAATAACAAAGCTACTGCGATTGACTGGAAGTTGTAGTGTAAATGTAGCCACACACATCCTATGTGACTGTGAGGCCATAGCTTAATTAAGGTTTCACCACCTGGGTCACTAATTCATGGAGCCAGATCCCTACAAAGACTTCATTCAAAGTGAAGGGTTGAAACAGAGTTTGATGCATGACAGATCATTGAAGGTTACGGTGCAAGGACCAGTTTAGGCGTACACCTTATGCATTCATTCTTTCATTATATTGTAAATTCAGGTTTTGATAAAGTAATGTTGATATCAAAATCTGAGGAGCTAATGTCTGCACTGTATTCAAATTGTGTTTCGCACTGTATTTAAATAAGGCTTTGTCAGCTGCACAGGTTATGTAATGTTGAATTGGAAAATCATTGAGAAGGACATAGAAGGGACCAGTTACTATCCCAGAACTTGCGTGGAGCAACTGAACAAAACAACGTAATATCTTCAATCAGGATATCCAACCTTTTCCATGGGATTGACTATAGGACCTCCTGCATAGGACTGTTATCAGCTAGTTTCACTTACACCCAGTTTAGATCTTGTTCTTAAACAAGCCCTAATGTGATGAAATTACCAATTTGAAGTTTCTAGCAATATTGAATAACTGTGTTACTGTAGGTCTGCAGAGTCCACGTGAGTACCGCAAGCCATCTCTGTCACTGTCTTCTGAAAGGAGTACGATGTCACCATCTCCACCCCCACCACCTCTTCCTCCTCGTGCCCAGCCGACACCACCACTCCAGACTCCGCCTCCAAAACCCACAGGGTGGATCAATTTTGAAGAGATCCCAGAAAAACGGAGACCTCCAAAACGGATCCAAACCATCCCTTCAAGGGGAACCCTGGACCTGCCCTCAGATTGTGCCAAGCCAGTGGTAGCAGAAAAGACTGTGTACAGTTATGTGAACCCCGAGGAGTGTAAGTGTGAGTGCCACGAGACAGCTGGGCAGGGTGCAAGACAGCAACTTGCAGCACCACCTCCACCACCAGCACCACAGTGTTCACACAGTGGCACTATAGCCACAAATGGGCAATCTGACATATCCCACCTTGATGTGGACTCTACAGGCGACCGGCATTCTTACATGAGGTGGGTGTGAAGAATTTACCTAGTGAGGATACTATGAGAGGTTGTTAACTATCTTAAGGCCAGCTGTACAGAAGTCTTATTTATTTCTGCGATAACAAGAAAATAACACCTAACATAGTTTGCATCTGGTTCGTATAATTATAGTGGATATACATTGATGGAATATAGAACTCACTCATTCAACTCCATTTTTAATGCAACTTAAAACTGTTCACAATCTGTCTTTAATTTAAAATTACATCAAAACTGCTTCCACTTGGAAGATCTATGTACAGATGAGAAAGAAACAGGGCATCTTTGAGCCTCACCATGAATACAATCTTGTTAAAACTGCTGTCTTCTGAGATATTATGTTTTGTAGCATCTGTAACCACATAGATGGTTATAAAAGTCTTAGAGGTGCATGCTACCTCCATCTGCAAGGTAGAATAAATATCCTGAAATTGGAAGCAGTATATTCCTCCGAAACACTGAATCGTGTACCAGACTATATATTGCTACATCCTGGAATACACAGTCTTAATATTAAACGCCATGGGACCCTCAAATATCATAAAAACCTGTTGTTGGAGATTTAGATAAATTTATTAAAAGATTATCCTTTCAATTTCAGTTTTGGCTTCAAGTAAACTGCTGCTGCTGGCCTTCACCAGCACAGTCACTCTTGGTTCCGGGCCTTGCAAGACCCTCGTCTACACTTTTCTGTCTCATGACTCTGACATTACTTATGTAACAGACAAAAATTATCATGGCAGTCGTGATTAAATTCTGGTCAGAACACTAAATATCATAGTAACTAAGTTGATTGAAGCGGTAACACTTCTGACTTATATTCAGAAGGTGTCTATTTGAATCTTGGCTCATACACCAACATTCCTGACTAAAAATTTTCATAATTTTTCTATCTCTGCAGGCAGATACTGGGATAGTACATAAAATTAGGCCACCTCCACACTTTGCATATCCTTTCTGATTCATTATTCAGTGTGACCCAGTCATTCAATGGTGGATAGTATGAATTCATGACAGTGCTGTTAGCTAAACTACAGACTAAGTAGCTCTTGTCTTTGCAGTGACTCATCGTTTGAGTACCCAAGCCCATATAGCCTAGGCGATAATGCTGATTACTCTGAGGGTTTGAAGCCAATGAAACCATTTGGCATGGATCTAGACATCACCAGCAACAGGAGCAGTATCATTTCGCAGGTAAACACACTTGCATTCCATACAGAAAGGAACAACCTTCTGGATATTTTTACTAGTATCAGTTTCGTTTACTGTACATCAGTGGTTGAGAAGCCTCCAATCCCTTCCTTCCACAGTCATTGTCATTATACTTGCGGAAGAGTCAGAGTTATGAAGCTCCTCATTGTGCAGCTTTTGTCCAACCTCTCATCACTTTATCTCTCATTGGTCCAAATATCTCCTTAACATCCTGTTCTCAAACACCCTCAGTCTATGTTCCTCCCTTAATGTCAGAGACTAAGTTTGACAGTCATACAGAACCACAGGCAAAATTATAGTTCTGTTATATTCTAATTTTCTTGTGAATAATACTGGTATGACCTTCTATTTATGTTCAGCTTAACATCTCTGGATGTCACAAGTGTTGTCTTCTGGGATATGATCCTGTATATTTTGGTACAGCTTGAACAACATTTTGGAGGAACATTGTGCTTCCATCTTCAGGATCAAAGAGTTAGCCAAGCAATATCCAAGCCAAGTTCGGCTTCCTGCTTGCTTTTTGTTTGACATACTCTTCTACCTTCAAGATGGCAGCAGTTTGCTCCTCCAAAATATAGGTTAACTTCTACCAGACTACATGACATCACACTCCATGAGAAACTCATATCTGCTAAGACTTGAAAGTCATTCCCAAATGTTGAGTGGGGAGATCAGTCATCACCCATAATTTGTTGCTCACCATTGATAACTGAGTGACCATACATTTTACCTTTGGCTAACCACATAAATGCTGGTCATGGTAGCCAAGCAGTCTAAGGCATGCACTGTCTTCACTCACCTGGAAGCTGGGATTGTGGGTTCAAGTCCCACTCAGGGCATGGATGTTTAGTGTTTGTTTGTGTGTGTGTGCGCGCGCGCGCGTGCGTGCGTGCGTGTGCGTGCACGTTTTACTGTGTTTGTGTATAGGTAGAGGCCTTGCGACCAGCTGTTCACCCGGCCAGGGAGTCCTACCAAATGTCTAACATCTAGTAAACCAAAGTGAAACAGAGAGTTTCATGGAGGTAGGCCGAGGCCCAAATTTGGGCTGTGGTGCCAAAGAAAAAAAAAGGTATAGATGTTATTGTAATACAAACATTCTTTGCTTTATGTTGACAGGATGAACCCCAATCACCAGAACTTGGTTCACCAAATGGCAATGAAAGTTAGCTCTCATGAATCAGACTGTTGAATTACTTGTTTTCTACATCATGATAGCTGTTTTGTTGTTTCTGCTCAAACCACGAACCAGGGTGACCACACTGTAGAATAGCTCAGTCATGGCGTGTAAGTCTCTTGTCTTTCAAGAACAGCAACTTAGCAATCATCATCATCATCATCATCTGTCTGTCTGTCTGCCTATTACTTTGTTTTCAGTGCTGTACAGGCAAGTCTGATAGTTTATGGCACTCTGAGATGGAACAGGATTTCCCAAGTGATTCTTCCAGTTGTTGCAACTGCCAGATGTTCCAAGTACACTTGAATTTATGTAAAGTATAGATCAAGCATGGAGTTTGCAGCACTTAAATACACCAGTCATTTACATATACTGAGAGTAATGATTGTCTGACGTTTGTATAAAACATGACTAGATCCAGCTTAACTTTTATTAGCCTGGAATGGAGGATTCTAAATACCATTGTACTACAAGGTTAGCAGTCAGATTTTGACTTCAGAGTAATGGTTTTCTATTGAAAAATGCAATGATTGGCTGGCTGGATCACACACCTGCACCATTACGAGTATAACAGCGCAATGCACAGATAAGAAAGATTAGCAGACAAACTAAAGAATATTACTGTTTTCTGGGCGCTGATACCAAGTAGTCTGCTAGATATTTACCAATATCTGGAAAAATACATGCTGTCTCCACCCTCAAGGTTGCAAGTCAAGACAGCACATTCCACTGAAACATCAGTAATGTCCAAGGGACTAAAATAACACCACATCCCAGAAAAATTTAATCTCCATGGAGAACCTCAAATGTTAACAATTAATGATGTTTTCCTTTTTATGAACACTTGTTATGTCAGAATTGTTCCATAATAAATATTATGCAGAAATGGATATCACTTAAAAAAGAATATAGAACATGTTCCATTAGGGTGAATTTGAGCAATTTCTAAATTTCACTGGCCCTCACATTGGTGCTGCTTTGAAGGCTTCCAATCTGTTTTTCTTTGTGTAGGAGAAATATGCATTGTTGTAAATTAGTTTCCAAGCTGATTATGTTATGTCACGATTGCAGTTAGTACAAAACTCTTCTGTTAGATGGAGGTAGAGTGGAATCTGGTGAGTCATTTGCCATTCATTTTGGAGTTGCAGCTTGTGACACTCAAGGCAACAGCTTGTGAAGTGAGGTTGTGCATTGCACCCTCTGTGATTTTCTTCTTGTCAGAATATGACTTATTTTGGTGTGTGGAGCAGTTTGGGGAATGTTGTTTAGGGTTAGTTGACAGTTCAAACCTGTATTTCCAAAAAATTACGTGCAAAATTCTACTGGTTTGTGCATACCACACTGACTATGTATTCAGGCCTAAATTCAAGCGTATCTTCTGCATTAAGATATTTAGACTGAAATGGGTCCACAAAGTGTTTTGTGTGGGCTAGGAGTTTCTTTTTGGGTGATTTAGTTTTCAGAAGTTTATTCTATTTGCTTAACTCTGATTACATAAATACCTAATGACAGTCTGTAAATATTTTATATTTCTCTAGTGGCACACAGGAAAGTAATGTCTGGGAACTGATTATCTGGAAGATTTATCAGAAGTCAGTATTTTTCTACTGTAGAGATACTTTTATAAAATATATTGTTTTATATATATTTTTCTGTTGATCTTGATTGAACCCTGAATTTTCTTGACTGCAGAATTCTGTAGGTAAACAAAATGCTCTTCTTGAGTGCTATATTAATATTTAAATCTAGAAATGAAGATGTTGGTTCAGGAACAAAGCTAGGGTAGGAAAGCTTCATTGAGTCAATAGCAGAATGAAACCTCAATAAATTTGGACTGTAAATTCTTACATGGTTTCTGAGTACAAATAACTCCCTAGAGTTCATCACAGCTTGTCATGTTGTAAGAAATACGCTTCGTTTTATTGGTTATATTAAAATTCTGTCATTACCAAGGCTGTATAGCATCAAATGGTAGGATCATAGATGAATGATGACTTGTGAAAGAAGCGTTGGCCTAATCAAGGTACTATCCCAGCATTTGATGGGAGCGATAACCACAAAAAGCCTCAGTGAGGATAACCTGCATCCAGACTGAGCTCATGGCAAATGCTATGTCAGAACGCATGGTATTACACTTGTTTTACTTGGTTCAAATAAATTTACATCAACGTGGCTGTCAGTAGCCTTCTAGGTTGGTGCTAATCTATGAAACTACATTGTGCCATGTTCCAGAATACTGTAATGTTGATGTTCACTGACGTAGTAACCTCTAGCCTTATCAAGAAGTACAGATAGCGCTGTCAGTTTAGTGACTGGCTAATGGCTGGATGACTGGGGGTCAGATTTCAGGCCCTGGTAGGGTCAAGAATTCTCACTTCTCCATGTCGTCAAGACTGGCTCTGGGATCCACCCAACCTCTTATCCAATGGGTACTGGGGGCTCTTTCCCCAGGGATAAAGCAGCCAGGGTTTGAAGTTGACCACTCAGCTCCAGCTAGTTCTGAAGTCAAGAAAACGTGGGTCTGTACATCTACTCCTCCATACGCCTTCATGGCATAGTGCTTAATTAGTTAAGGTCAGGGACAGTTTTACCTTTACCTTTACCTAATGGAGAAGCATAGACTGACAGAAGTGGAATATGTAAATACAAGGGAGATAAGAAGGTATGAAAAGTTGCATCATCAATGTTCTCATAAAACTCTTATTTATATTACATATCCATTTTCATAATGTAAGACGATTTTTTTGTCTCATAAATAGAACGTTTCGCATGGTGTGCCAGACTGTGAAAATATCACTGAATTAAGGGAATGTGGTGATGAGTAGGATTGCCAGCGGTGATGAGGAACACAGAAACGTCCATGCCGTGGGTGAGAATTAAACTCACAGCCCCACTGTTTGCTTGGCCTAAAACTAGGACCTGAGATTAGCAGTTTTGAATATACATTTTATGAAGTAGTTCTTTAGTGACAGGTAATTTTCACATTGATCTCTAACAATGTAAAATTAAACTGCCAGATATGTTGTCATCCTCATAAAACCTCAAAGACCTTAAAGATTTTTTAAACCTTCATGTTAGTACATAGGTGTAAACATAACTGAAGACCTTTTTCTTTGAATATGCACATGGCTACAGTCAGCAGCACTTATTCAATGATTTAAATGTTCAGTATACACAGGATACATTTTATAAAGAAAGTGGCTAAAAATAGCTACATTGGTGATTACGACTCTGAACATGAATCTTACTTGTTGCCTCTGAAGAGTCACATTCCAACCTTACAGTATTTATTTTGCATTCCTTTCACTGAATCATGTGAGGGGGAATACAGATTTGATACAATTTAACTGCTGCCCTCAGAGTGCCACAGTAGTGTAATCCAGTGTAATTCTAAAGGACACCATAACGCAGCAACGGCCTTATCATTGTTCCAGTGCTCTGAGTGTTACAGTCAGATACATATAATTCATAACGTGGAAGAACCAATGTATATAACTACTGAGCGTATCTTCTCTCCTCTTCCACTCCTTTGGGTTAGAATTTGGGATCAACTGTTGTTGTGGTCACCCAGTTTTGGTTCCAAATAACACAACTGCTGAGGCATTACTCAGAACCTATGTGAGCTCAGTGAAAGTGTGAGTCGGACATGAGTTTCATCTCACTGCTACAGTACTGCACTGCCTACTGTTAGTATGTTGTCAGACTGTCAGTAGGAATGTCTAGCAGATTGTTTGATCTATAAATGGGAACAAGTTGAATTTTTAATCGGTTGTGCTAGATGCGAGTGATGCTGTGCAGGTTTTGAACATTTCTTCTGCTTCCTCTGAAAAAAATCAAGATCAATACAAGTCTCTGTGTTTCAGAAGATTATTTCACTTGGAAAGAAAGCAGACATGATAGGGGAGAGTGAAATATACAAGTATGAGAAGAAGAAAGTGTTTTCAGAAGAGCTTCTTCAACACCTTACCCTCCAGTTACGAATCTTATAGTTTGTTTATGTTGCATTTAATTGTCAAGAAACTGAACACTTCTCTGTTACACAGTATTATTCATATTAGTATGAGGTTTATTCAGATGAAAGCTCTTCATGAGGCTGCTAGCTAATATGATTGGTCACAGATAATCTTATGGCTGCGTGCATGACACATCAACAGTTGACCAGAAGCTGTTCAACGAAAATATAATTTCATAGTGTCCACGAGGGCTGTTTTTAATGGCCTGTATACCTTTTGCCCAAAAAATCCCTGAATGGGTTTAATTTGAATAATCCTCATGTAAATGTGCCATAATTAAACTTTTATTTACCTTTCCTCCCTCTTCTCCTTAAATTTAGTATTAAGTATTTTGCAGAGTAGATAATGAAAAGTTCAGTCCAGTGTGACATATGAGTTTATAACACTTCAGTCCTCATTCGCCTTACATGTTTCGATTCAAAAGAATCATCTTCAGAGGCGCACCACTACAATAAGGAAACACTGTTACATAAGATATTCTAACAATATGCACTTTAGATATGACTAATGCTCTCTATATAAATTTTGTTATCACGGTTGGTTCCGATGTTTATCTTAGGCACGCACAATGGCGCTTCTTGAAATATAGATTTACTTATGATGAGCTTCTTTTAGTGTATTTCCTGGTTATTCTGACTAGGGTTTTTCACTGCATGCAATATGGTGTTCACTTTTTCATACATTAGCCTCCCAATTTATTTAAAATTGTATTAAAATGTCCATGTAAACAATTGGTTATTATATTAAAATATCTTGAGCCGACATTGGGTCATGTTGTTTTCCTCCTGATGGTGGGAGATGTCGTTTATTTCTCTTGGTTTTATGTTCTTATTATTAGAGTGTAGTTCACGTGCGTGCTGTGTTGTTTGTACTGTATGACACAGCACGAATGTGAACTACACTCTAATAATAAGAACATAAAACCAAGAGAAATAAACGACATCTCCCACCATCAGGAGGAAAACAACATGACCCAATGTCGGCTCAAGATATTTTAATATAATAACCAATTGTTTACATGGAAATTTTAATACAATTTTAAATAAATTGGGAGGCTAATGTATGGAAAAGTGAACACCATATTGCATGCAGTGAAAAACCCTAGTCAGAATAACCAGGAAATACACTAAAAGAAGCTCATCATAAGTAAATCTATATTTCAAGAAGCGCCATTGTGCGTGCCTAAGATAAACATCGGAACCAACCGTGATAACAAAATTTATATAGAGAGCATTAGTCATATCTAAAGTGCATATTGTTAGAATATCTTATGTAACAGTGTTTCCTTATTGTAGTGGTGCGCCTCTGAAGATGATTCTTTTGAATCGAAACATGTAAGGCGAATGAGGACTGAAGTGTTATAAACTCATATGTCACACTGGACTGAACTTTTCATTATCTACTCTGCAAAATACTTAATACTAAATTTAAGGAGAAGAGGGAGGAAANGTGGTACTACAAAGAGCCTACCAAATTTTATTTAAAGAATTTTGCCTCTATGAATAGTCTTTCATTACAGTATCGCATCCATTTTCTGTTTATGATCAAGGACAGACTTTGTTAGCCATAATTTGAAAAGAAACAACATGAGAAATGTGTTTTGTAATTCACAAGTTTTGAGTATGAAAATAAGATCTCAATTTGGATCATTCTGCTGACATGTTGTATAAGAATTTAAGGGGGACAACACAGCAATAAACTGCACAATCTGTCTTGACCTTATCTGTATTTTCTGCAAGATATTCTTGATTGTGTCACTAGGACAGTACCCTAATATCCTAGCTGGGGACAGTTGCATTGTCAAGAAGCATTTCTGAACTTGTTTTTGCCTCTGCTGGCTGTATTTGTATAAATTCATTATGGGTTGGCATAATTTGCTCTTTGTTTTATCTTTTGGATATGTTAGGAATATTCAGAATTACTGGGTTTTTGGACTTTGTCCATCATCCAGTATTCTAAATAACTCTTAAGGAACACAATATTTTGGAAACTGGATCTGTTTCCGTCCTCAGGTTAGGGTGTGGGGGATACCTGCCAGCAGCCCAGTGATTGAAGTTAGCTCTTCATAACTAACCCAACAGTAGGTGTCTCCCACCCCCTCAATTTAGGCTAGAAACAGATTCAGTTTCTAAAACGTTGTGTTCTTTAGTGTTCTTTAAACAGTACTGGATGATAGACAAAGTGCAAAAACCCAGTAATTAATATTAATAGTAAAGATAATAGCAAACAGTAAGGCTATACAATGATCTTTTTCTTAAAGCTAGAATTTCCACGATTTATGTCTTAGTTTGATTCCTTATGGCAAAAGCTACTTTGAGTACATTATCTTTATATATGTACTTTCTTTCCTAGCCTCCTGTTTTATTGCTATGTCACTTCACTTCCTTATTTTGTGACCAGCCAAGCACAAATACCACCTAAGACATCTCTTTAAATATACCCGTATGTACACTGTGGGAACATCCCACATTATCACGCATTTTCTGCAACGCACACTCTTCACATCACTTTTCACCATCACGCGCGCTAACCAATCAAATTGCTCCAAACGTTCGCATTTATACCATGCTCGCTGCTAGCCCCGCATCTACATCATCACACGCGCTAGCCAATCAGCACCCTGCAAATTCTTCCTCCTCAATTTCAAATTTTGCTCCGCCCACCGAGTAGTGTATAAAAAGGAGCAGCCGCAAACCGGCAGCATCAGTCTGACTTCGGTCTACGATCAAGCCACACTCAAGCGACATCAGCCAGCAGGCTTTGTCGCAAGCGCTCGGTCTTCGGAGGCATCGGCAGGCTGCGCTAGGCACGACTGCCTCGGCCCTCCGGCTCTCACACCCGACTCACTGGGGCACCTCGCCTGGACTCGCCGGTTGTCGTGTCCCTGTCCGACTCACTGGGCATCTGGCATAGCCACTGCCTCATCACTCCTACGACCGCGCTGCACGACCACGCAACTTCAACTCACCTGCCGCATGGCGTCCAAACATCCTCCAGCAACGGCCGCGCTGTGGCCAGTCAAATCACCACAACTAACCCCTCTCCCTACCGGCGTGCACCACGCTACCTCACTGGTCAAGCATCTCAGCAACCACGGTCCTTTTCAGGACCAACAGGCTTTTCCGAAGAAGTGGGTTGTCATCGGAGTAATGATGAACAACAAAGGCAAAACCCCACAACACTATTTGACAGTACTTTTGTGTCCTAATACATAGTTACGTACCTAAGCATTGACTGTACAGTTCAATTATTCTCTGTTTTACTTTTGCTTCCTTCCCTTTATATTCAGCTCTCATAGATCATTCTCTATATCTTTTAGCCCTCTTCATCTGGAC